TTCCATTAAAATGATCGTTCATGAACATATTGCTCTATCTTACATAACCAAACGTAGGTCAAATAAGCGAGAGAGGGTCCTTGTAAAATACCCTAATATACTTAATGGGAAGTGGGATTAATGCAGCTAAAAACATCTTTGCCTCAAGGAGGCTGCAGAGCAATCCATCATGAGAAGCGTTCTGCACTGTGACTCTGCACTTCTTGTCCTCTTTTTATAGTTCTCCTCCCTATACTGAGTATTTCAGCTCACTTCTTGTCTTTCCTGGGACAGAAAACATCCCTGAAAAGTGGACGCCTGAGGTGAAGCACTTCTGTCCCAATGTTCCCATCATCCTGGTGGGGAACAAGAAGGACCTGAGGAACGATGAGCATACACGGAGAGAGCTAGCCAAGATGAAACAGGTACAAAGGCCCCTGAAGGTCAATGAACAGTGGAATGAGCTAATCTGATGCAGGTAGAGAGCTCTTGAAATCTCAGGCACTAAAAGGCACTGGATATGTGCTGGGTTGAAACATTTCATTTGTTAGGATTTTCTTTGACATATTTCGGCACGTGTTATTGACCCTTTTAAAAAACTAAATAAAAAAGGGTCATGTAGCACTACCATCCTGTGAATGTTTGCAGTCTCACATTTATTTCTAAAGGAGCTGCATGACGGATGACGTTAATCTTGCTTTTCCTGCTTCACCAGCGTACTCGGTTTAAGAACTGTCAGCTTACAGAAACACTAAAGGCCTGTGTGTAGAAATGGAAAATTCATTATTGTACAGGGTTTCAACCACATGTTTACGACATTACACCACCAGTGTATTAACTACAGCATCAATCTCACAGCTTACTGACAGTGACGGGACTTTTCTTAATATTTTTCGACCACATCAGAACTATGACAGGACAGAAATGTTCTAATCCAGAGCAGCGTGTGAAAAGCAGAAGCCTCAGATGGCTGTACAGTCAGAGCATGAAATATGATTCAGGGAAGCTGGTTTAATTTGTCACCGAGTATGAACGCTTATCGCAAAACACAGCGTTCGTACTGCAAAGAAGATATTATGTAATTGGACACTTTCTATCAGATGGCTTTACAAAATAAAATTGAGAGAAGACAGCAGGAAGAAGAAGAATCCCTCTTTTAGGATTGGCATGCAATCATTTAGAGTAAGAAAGCAATAGAAGAATCGAAATATAGAAAATCACAATGTCAAAAGTGTCAGTAACAAGTTAAAGCATGTGTCTCTGTCAAACTGATTTCATAAGATGTAAAAGATTTCAATTTGCTAATCAAAACATACTGACAGTATAAATGATATGTCAAAAAAGCAAAATGTTTTGTTTTCTGTCACTAAGAGGAGAACAGCAAAGTGAAAGCCCGAATAACATCTCAGTTTTATGTTTTCACAGTGGAATCTGTAGATGAGCTTTTCCTGTCTGTGGAAATCAAGACATCAGTAGTCAGTTCAAGAGTTTGACTCTTACATAGTAAAACAGACATCGGTTTGATATTTGTAAGATATGTGATAAATGGCTTAGACATTAAGCCATAAACTTGAGCTCTTGATTCCAAGATTTCGTCGGTTTGGTAAATGAGTCATGCCAAAAAGGCGGTGAGAGGCATATCAAACTGTGCTTATTCTTTTGTTAATAAGTATTATGGTAGTGAGGGGGTGTTTAGACTGTAGCTGACAATGATCAGTGTCTTAGTGTATAAAATGATTTTGTTTTATCAGCAGTTCAAATGCAAAACGACTCAGTTTAATGTCACATATATGACAAAAAACAGTTTAAAAAAAGAGCCTTTTTTTGCATGAAAAATAATTCATGTTTTAAGTACAGTTACATTGATAATTTTGTATTGATTCTGCTTATGGAATGACTTATTCTTGACTGATTGTTAGTGCTCTAATTTCACTTTAAAAGGGGGAAAAAAATCAAGGATCTCTTCAGTGATATCATGATTTTCCCTGGAAAGTAAACTGAGCTCTCCTTCTTTTCTCAGCACTTTAATTGAGTCCCTAATGGTGTCCGATCTAACCCTGCAGGAGCCAGTGAAGACAGAAGAAGGCAGAGACATGGCTGGTAGGATCAGCGCTTTTGGCTACTTGGAGTGTTCTGCCAAGACGAAGGATGGTGTGCGGGAGGTGTTTGAGATGGCCACGAGAGCAGCACTGCAGGTCCGCAAGCGCAAGAAGAGAAGTGGCTGCACGGTGCTGTGAGCAGTCCAGACGCCATCAAATCAGCTGACCAATTGGAGAAAAATAACACATGAAAAAGGACTGACCTATTACCAAATGGATCTTTGTACTGTATCTCACATTTCATGACAAAGACAGGCAGATGAATTGAACATAAACAAACCTAATACAGGAAATGAACTATATGACATCTGTGGCTAGAAATTGATGTTTCCGTATTGATTTGCTTTTGTCCCTCCCAAAATCTGTCTTAACAATTTACACTTTTTTTTTTTTAAACTTGGCTTTGGTAGGTGCACATTTGTATGCGGTATTGTTCTTCACAAGCTTCTCGGGCAAGTGGCATCATTCTTAGCTTGTATAAATCTTTGAGTAGTTCCCAGTCTCGTCAAGCAGGCAGTTCTGTTTCACTGTAGCAGTAGCGATAGAGAATTAAAGATGATATCTTTTGACCATAAGAGCTAGTGCCTTTTTTTAAGTTTATACACCACCGTCTGTTTGTCGGCGAGCTTGCATTTCGGCTGAGGACCCCTTCATTGTACTGTAGCTCATTTTACAGTGTTGTCATTGTGAAACCTGAGCAAAGCCATAAGTAAAGGCTTTCAGTGCTCGTCAAGTCAAGCACAATGAATGGTTGCTTGTGTCATTTTTTTGTTGGTATGAAACATCAGTTTCACCTTCCCCATTATGAGCCCACTCACATCGAGGATAAAGAAAGGCAGCTGCTTCTGTAATGTAATGTGTCAACAAAGGAGTGTGCTTCCCATTCTGCATAAAATTATTCACATTCGCCCCTCGTAATTGTTGCTCGAAGCTAGATGGGAGGGGAGGGAGAGGTGGCCAATTGAGACGCAAGCCAATATGACTCAACTATGCACAATAGCTGTTAGGACCAACAGGGAGATGACACAAGTGGAATCACATGTAGGCCACGGCCTGGTGAACCCTCCCTTGTTTGTTTCTTATGAGTGACTGAGTTCAGCTCTTTTTGCTAAGTTAACTGGTTACACCCGTTATTGGAATCTTGTTTGTGATACTGGTTAGCCCAGTCATGGAAATCGCATCCTGTTAGGCTGGATGTTTCCAGTTGGATGACATTCTTTACATGTCTGAGAAGAGCCACAGTGTGTGCGAGTGAGTTTTTTGTTTCTTTTCCTGGTGCCTTCTCTGTTCTGGTGTGCCTTTTTCGGTTGTTCTCTCCCACACCAGATGGACTAGCTGCTGAATGTCAAGCTGATACTCACTGACAAGGTCAAGAGTGACCGTTCTGATGTTTTTTTTGTTGTTTTTTTTCCAAGGCTTGGTTCTTTAAATAGATTGATGCATGGTAAAATGTGTTATTTGATGTATGCCATCATTTTTTAAAAAAAACATTTTGTGTATGACACATCTTTGTCTTGTCAGATGAGCAAAATAAGTTTAAGTTCTTGCATCATGTGAAAATTACAATATGGTTGATTGAGAAAACATCTGTATGCAACCATTTCCTTTGATGTTTTACTTAAAAAAAAAAAAAAAAAAATCAGTTACAACCTATAGGATGGAATTTAAGCTCACTCTTTGGAAATATACTCGGCATTTAAGGATGTAATTAAATTTCAGTTCACTAGGACATGTCAGATCGTCCTCTAGTATCTGTATTTGCTCATATCCTCGCAGAATACTCTAGTGAACTTCCCCTGATGATAATAGCTTGATATTCCTGAAAGGCCCTCATCGACTGTCCTGAGGCACACTCTTTCACACCACTGTTGCTCAGTTGTCTACTTTACATGTCCACTGGTTGCATGAAGGGTGGATTTCTTAATATACGTGGCAAAAACAATATCATCTGTGTTGCATGCAACCTTCTTACAATTCCATCAAAAGCACCAAACCTACCAGTTATTATTGTAAAACTGTGTGTAATGCAAATTTAAACCCTTTGCTGGTGAAGCACATAAATGATGCTTTAAACGAGCAGGCCAGCAAAGAGGCTACAGCTCAGACGAGGTGTTGTGATTGTTTTAGCCGACAAACGCACACAAGCAACGTACTAATGTTCTATCCACCCTCCAATCTTTAGAGGGCGGATGCTACTTTTAACTCGGGACTCCGTGCACTAATATGGACAACAAGCACACCATTTGGGCAAGGGTAAACATTCATATCTCTACAACTTCTTATCGATGAAAACATTTCATAGTGGTGGCATGGTGTTGACGTGTCTTAACAAGCTCTCGCAAGGAATACATGGGAATTAGAGATCGGCAGAGAGTTAAATAACTTAAAGCTGGGAGTAGAATCATAACAATTGGAGCAGCGGAGGAGCTAGTGTTGAACATATCACTAAGAGCATGTACTATACTGCTGTCCATGTGTATGCCGATAATGTCCCGCTAAAAAAAATGTCCTTGCTATATTGATGCATGCATGAGAAATCCATGGGTCTTTACAGTGCGCGCACATACAGAAGCACTAACATCGCACACCTCTGTGGGAACAGCTTCAGCTCAGTGTTGTGCAACTTTTATTTCTCTCTCTGGAAGTATTTGAAATCAATTAAAAGTATCCAGATTTCTATAAAAGCTCATTGTAATAATGCTTTGTAAACAGAAAGTGTTGTAGTGAACATTTGAGCTGAAGTGAACATGAACATTGTTAATAAACTATTTTTGCGAATAGACAGACCAGTCTCCTCAGTCCATTCTTGAACAGGACGACACTGCTAAAGGAAATGATCAGGCACCACGGTGTAATATAATATACAGCAGATCAAAAAGTCAGTTTATTTTTTTTAAGTTTTGAATTGACATAAGTCATAAGGCATACGGTGATAAATCAGTGTATTAAAATTATCTTCCAGTCTTTTCCCATCTGTAGGACATTTTAGCATCTGTACAGCCATAGTTATGTTAACTGGGCTAAATAAACAGACCAGGTAAGTGTAAAAAGCCAAAGTTCACTGCTTCATTTTGCCACTGATTAGAAACAGAGGAGCATTTATTGCACTTAAATATCCAAACTGCTCTTAAAAAGGTTCATAGAAAGGATATGGTCTTAAATCTTGTGCTGAAGCAGTAAGACAAAGAATAAAATAAAAGACTGACACTTGCTATGCATTCAAATGGCTTTAAATCTATTGCAGACGCTATGTCCTAATTTAGAGGAAATGTTAATGCTCATTTTTCCACCCAGGGTCCACAAATTGCTGAATGGCACTCTCCTCTGGAACAGGACCTAGAACAAAGACAAAATCTTAGCAAAAGATTTTTTTTTTTTTTTTT